GCTCTAAATCTGCTAGGAAATGAAGGAAAAATAACATATATATGTGTAGTGGTATTTTTGTAATTTCTGGGTTAATGGGTCAGAGTTACTCAGTAGCCTAATGGGTAGATTTGGGTGAGTTGTCAAGCTTTGGGTGAGTTGTCAAGCTTTGAGTGACTTTGGACATTGTTAACAGCTTCCTAGTAGTGACATTATGAATTACTTAGTGGTTCTGACGAAGCTTCGCTGGCTCTAGTGAAGGATTGGAAATTGTCTCTTTTCGATAATTTTTCTAGCCATATGAAATCCCACTTCTAGGCAGGTACTTGAGTGCAACTTGCAAAATAACACCTACATAGGATTTTGGTGGAGTCCCCAAGGTCTGCGTAGGATTTTTGGAAGATTCTCCAAGCAACAATAATCTTTTCATCAATTCCCAACATGGTGCAACTTGTGCAGCCACCTTTCCATTGAATATGGCTGCAAGTTACTGATGGAGACTAAAACAACATCTTTGGTTGATTCTTCATAAGGTTTCAAGCTTTGGGTTAGCATCAGACGGTACTGTTTCACAAATCAAGCTCAGTTTCTCATCTTTGCCACTTAGCCGTTTTTGGCGAAGTCGGGCAGCATCACCAACGCCAAGCCTTGTTGGTGCGAATATCCTTCTTCACCAAATGGGTAATGTTCACCCATCGATACCTACCAAGCCACTACTCCCAAATTTTACCCCGAATATTTCCCATGAGCTTGGATTCATGGGTTCGTGCCCATCTGCAGTGAAGGTGGAATACTTGTGAGTATCTGTTCAAATATTTAAGTATAAAATATACAAATATGTGCAGCAAAGAAGGATACTCCCTTGTGTATTAAAGGAGACAGTGAGGATGAACATGATTGTGCTCTTTCATCTCGTGGCTATGGCGAACACTTGTATGTTGTTGTTATATATGGCTAGCATTGCGCCAAGATAAAAAGCAAGCAATATTGATGTGTGTTGTGATATCATTGTCCTGATCCAAGTATCGCTGGTCAGTGATAGCTACTAACACATGGAACATGAAAGAAATATGTTATGAGTCGAGATTATCAATAATCGGTAATTTTGTCCCTTAATATGAAAGAGTAATGAGGTACATGGTTGCTACCCATGTCTCATAAGCATCGCAGGGTTAGCCATGAATAGCTTTCTTATAGCCATAGGGACTACAGTGGCTAGCTTTGTCCATGGTTGGAGTGTGAGCTATGTGGAATCAGAAGAGTACTCTCACTAATCCGCTACGTCACGAAGGGATACATCTCACTAAGCCAGACTTTGCTAAAGCGATGAATATGATATATAAAGAAAGGTGGAGTTGTCTCCATGGAAGAAGGATGTCAGTTGCATCCATGGCCTTTGATACGATAAGTTGTGATACCATTAACAAACGTAGGCCTTTCTTGCTGTACCCACATCTTTAGAAGGTGGTCCTAGTTGTTGTTGCTCGTCAAGCACCGCACCACCATGAACGGGCGACCACCAAGGGACCACCAATCGCTACTTGATGGATTTTTATCGTTGGAGGGTAGCCATCCTGTCTAATCACAGGGTTGCAATTGTTATTGGTGTCACGCTAATTGTACTGAGTTGTGGTGACTCTTTATCCATTTTTGGGAGCCAATGAGATGAGATATATAGAAATCCAACACTTTGTTCGTTGCTAGTAGTTGGTATAATGAAGATGTGTAGAGCAATGTAGCTTTTTATCCATTGTTGGAGGCTAAATGACAAATCCGACCCTTTGTCCACCATTGGGAGCTATGTAGATGTATCCCATTGTCCATCAATGGGAGCCATGTATGTGCAACAAGTTGGCTCTTTATCCATTGTTGGAAGCCACAAGATATAACAGTGAATGTCACTATAGAGGATACGACTGTCACAAACATCCAGCCATGTCATGGAAATAGATCTAGCCATGTTTGGCCATGTATATAGAAATGGATGCTAAAGCGAGCCATGCTCTACCGTGTTTCTAACGAAGTGGATAAATACCTTTTCTGGTGGTGCTGACTCTGTTGTAGTAATTAGCGAAAAATAGCATGGCTGACATGGAAGATAAGTCATGTGGGCCCTTGCTGATGTGGGATCATATGTGTCTACAACTTTAGAGTAGTACAAATTCATCCCTCAACATTAGCCCCCAAGCAAGCGAAGTTGTGATAGCAAGTTTGGCCATTTGGTGTTGAGGGAGATAATTTTCCATGGAAATTTGAATATAGTCACAAGCATGTTGGGACGATCATACAAATCTGATGCTCAATATGAATCCTTTTGTTGAAGTGAATGCAACTTAAAAGACTTAGGATTGCTAGGATTCAGTTCCAGCCGTATAGTCCGTTAACATCGAGGTGACTTTGACAAAGGAGAAGTTGTGCTGGGATCAGTTGTGCAAAACAGCAATAAGCATGGATGAATCTAGTATGATTCGACTTTCACTGATGAATGAAGCCAAGATACTAGTCGAGAAATTTGATACCATGAGTTTTGATGCTACTAGCAAAGCTTTGCCGCGGATGGAGTCAGACTAGGCTGACGCAAGAAGTCTAGCTAAGAGATCCAAGATTGTTAAGCATGATGGAGCCTAAATATGCACAGAATAAGGCTAAAGCCAACCAAGATAATGGGCCACATAAACAGCACCCACGAAGTTACTTTATGCATAGAAAATTGCTCATGCACCTGGCCAAACCTTTCTTTGCAGATTCACTAAAATAATTTTCTGAAAAAAAGTTGAGTGCAATATAGAAAAAATACCTGACAACAATTTTGGCTGATGCAAATACAAGGCTAGTGAGCAAGCTTTCAATCACATCTTTGCCAGGACTTCTGCACAGGTTGTACTGTTCCTACTTCCCTTTTTTTTCGAAATCTAATATCTCTTGAGTAGTTATGTGGAAGAGATTCTTTACACTAGTCACTTGTGGTCTTGATCTAAGGAAGACTTAAAAGCGTTCCCTAGAGAGGTTTTTAGTAGTTAGAATGGAAAATTAGCTCATCTTTTGAAAAACAAAGAAACTACATCTTCCCTAGAAATCCCATCATAATGGTGCATAAAAATAGGAGATTTTAAAGGGGATTTGGGGTGGATGAGCGAACCAAGACAACATGCACCCCACCTACTACCCTTTAAGATGGTTCTTGGCCATACTAATGTGCGACAAGTGGTGAAGTGGTTGGTTAGGGCACTTAATTTGCTTTTGATTTCCCTCTCTACGATGTCCTTTAATCCCTTAGCCAAAATTTTCAGTTTCCCTTTTTTTTCTCCCTACAAAACTATTGAATCCTTTTTTTTCTCTTTTTGTATTCTCGATTATTGCATTCGTGTTACAAAATCTCTTGGACTTTTCAACAAAGTGGCTGGATTCTTCCTAAGGAGGGTGATTCGGTGTGCATTTCCAACTAAACCCTTTTTCCAATCAAGGTAATGATGAACCCCTGTTTCTCCGTTTTGCCTTTATCTCTTTTTTTTTTTTTTTTGAGGTTGCATGCTGCGAATTTCTTACGTTTTCCCTGACCCAAGTCTCTGGCTTCCTTCTCCCCATTTTTTTTGAACAAGGCTTTGAAGATGGCTGACCCCTACCAAACTTATGGAGTACAGCCATAACATGACCTGTGAAACACTTTTTGGGATGGCTTCTTGGAGTTCAATGCTTGGTCTATGAAAAGGGTTCTTGAGAAGCAAAAAGACCTAGTATTGCTCAAGGCTTTTGAGGGGGTGACATTAATGCGGCATGGTTTCCTTCGCCGAATGATGTTATGCGAGCGAGGCTTGAAAGATAGGACCTGTTGCTAGTGCCATTCACTTTTCATTTCCATCAGACAAAATGGAAAATTGGACAAGTTGGGCCAAGGAAATGCTTACTAATAGTGGTTTTTTGTAGAGATATTGCGTGCTGTTGGAATCTTCCAATCAGTGGCTTTGAGTCAGACTTTGCAGATTAGCAGCAATGTGGAGTGTCTTTGTCGTTTGGTGAGAAGGTAGCGTACAAGTACTTATACTTTCATCCTTGCTTTCGAAGATGTCACTATGACTTTAGAAGACATGGCAAATCTGATGCTATTACCCATTGTTAGGGAAGAGGATCTGTAGCATATATCACTAATGCTAGAGGAGTGCATGGCATTGATAGCCTTAAAGAAAGTGATGAGGAAAAATGTCAATGCTTCTTCTCGTTTAAGTAGAGGAGAGTACAACATCGATTTCCCAACTTGGATGTGATACTTTCAGACTGGCAAGGGCAAAGATAGTCCATACGTGTGTGCAACTTTCCTTATGGCTTGGTTGAGCAATTTTGTTCTTAGGGTTTTCCTAACTCATGAGATCATGGCTTGGTGCATTCCATTAGCAATCTGCTTGGTTAAGGGTGTGAGGCTTCTTTTGGCACCACTAATGTTAGGTACACTCTATCACATGCTTGACTTGCTTCACTTTGATGAGATTCTTGGTGCTAGCAATTATATCATTGAGTCACATTTGTGCTTGTATTTGTTGTAAATGTTTGCATGGGAAAGATTTCATCCATACCACCCTGGCCGTGTTACCAGTGGGAAAGCATTGAAGGAATATCCCATGGTGAAGTGCAATTATACTAGTGGAACAACCTCACTAGCCTACTTTTGGATAGGGAAAAGAAAGGTAAATGGGCAGATAGTTCCGAAGGTTGATGGCCTTTTTAGATGACTACAGCGGTTTTAATTTCCATGCACACAGATCCATGTTGGGGATGCTTACACTGCTCAAGGTTAGCTTTTTTGATAAGACGCTTCCAATAGTGATTAGGAATTAGATTGTGAACTTTACTATGGGAGACTTGAGCCATTTGGAGATGCTGGCAGTGATCACTCCATCCATGTTGTTGTTACATGGCGAAGGACATGAAGTTTAAAACGCTATTGCCTAGAAAGAGTTGTGAGGCAATTCAACTATGATCAAGATATACCTCTTGCTCCTTCCTCTGATAAGACTAATTAGAATGAGGCCATGTGGTCTTACATTGACCAAGTTGTTACAACCATGTGGAGTGAGGGTGTTGTTGCCACACAAATTTTTTATCACTATTAGAATGTTGACCATGTCATCGCTAATGTTGAAATGTTGGGGTGCATTGCTGAAGAAATTTGAGGCTTTTATTCAATCACTACCAGTGGTTGTGGAATATAATCCTACTTCCCAATATTGTGAGCGCCTTTTCACTCGCAATAACTCTTTCTTGAGTTACTACAATAAACGTTCTTGGGGCTTCTTGACAAGAGAAGATAATGGGCAATGGGTACCCATTTGTCTGCCCGTTCCTAGCATGGCCAAAAAGGAATATGGCCAGGGTGTGGCTGTTGGTGAGGAGCTTGGACAAGAAGCAACTAGTGGTTTTGGAGTTGGAGGTAAATATACTCTTCTATTTTGACCTTAAACTTTGGTTTTTCTTCTATTTAGAAGCTTGGCCAAATCGAGCAAGTGTTGAAAGGCATTCCTTGATTTCGTACCTTTCTCATGACATTGCAAGTGAAGTCGGCAAAGCTGCTTCTTCAAAGTGATCAATTCTAGGCAAGAGGAAAAGTGTTGCTCATTTGCCCAAACGTAGAGCACGTAGGACTTTTGCTTAGCCAGCCAATAAGCAAAACAAGGCCAACACACCCATACCTCCCAAGGCAAAAGCTACCAAAGAAAAGGAGATGAGCCATGATAGTGACAGTGATGAAAGTTCTTGGGGTGATCCTAATCCTAAGGTGATTGAACGGATTAAAAGGTTGAGACCTGTTCGTGTTGGCAAGCATTTGGGCGAGAAATACTAAGATTCAAGTGCCTCATTTCAAGTAGGTGTACTACTAGATCTTTCCTTCACATATCCTTTGATTGTTGTTGACTTCACTAAGGATCCCTTGATGTGTGGCTTAATGTTTGTATGAGTAGTTGGCAGCTTCCAACAAAGGTCTTGGTCTTATTCCCATTCTTGGTGATGATAAGGTTCTGCCCAAGTTTGAAGAGGCTAAAAAGGTGGAGGCTTTAGCAGTGAACATGGAGGAGGCCCTGGCAAATCCTGAAGTTCGTTGAAAAATTTTAGCCAACAAAATAGGTGATCCTTTGCTTCCTAACGATATACTTAGTTTTGTCGACTCTGTCATTGATTGGAGTGACCCTGTATCCTTCATAGCCGAGTTAGTGAAGAAGGTGAAAGTCAGCGAAGTTCTGCCACAAAAACCTTCTGTCGTGAGTAGACTTGGCAAATGGGCGAGTTGGGTCAGGTCTGGGTTAGGTCAGCACGAGTCACGGGTTGAGAAAAGCCAACCCTAACCCGACTTTAATGGTTACGAGTTAACCCGTAGGTTGACATTTTTTCCATTCATCATCACAATTAAAGCAACACCTTCAAGCTCGTGAATATATATATTGCATCTTATAATCAAAATATAACACTACAAACATTAATATCATAAATCTTTAAATTAAAGTAATATAATAAGTCATAACATCCTAAATATCCAAATTAAGGCAAGATCCTAAGTCTATTGGTCTTTGAGATGGGCTACCATTGGCTTGACTTCGTTTCCTTTTCATCTTCCACAAAATATTCAAGTGCTAAAGAAAAAAAAAAAACACATGTTAATTTGAAGCATTAAACAAAAAAAAAAAAACTAAATATCAAAAACTAAAAGAGAGATGGGGCAAGATCGTAGGTCACATAAAAAAATCACAAAATAGAATAAAAAATAGTAAGCAATTGGAATAGAATCAACAGAAAATGGATAAAATTCAATAAAATAAAATCCATTTTTAGATAAAAATAAAATTGGATTTCAAATAAAATCAAGTTAAATAGAATCAAACATTAAAATTGAAAATTGAATATAAAAACATCCAAAATGCAAAAAAAAAAAAAAAAAAAAACAGATTTGAAAGACCCATACCTCAAATGCGAAAGGAATTGACTTGAGTGAACAAGAGAGGTGAATGAATGTTTAAAGGGAGAAAAGAAATTAAAACAAGTGGCCAATGAAGTGATTGAGATAAATGAGGGATATGAAGGATTGAAAGGGGAAGATGCAAAGTTTGGCATGGTGGAGTAGACATTAGGGCTAGGAATTGTTAACTGAACCAATGGAAAAATGAAGATGAGAGAGTTTTGCAAATTAAGATTAAGGAGGGAGGTGAATCGGTGAGTCGGTGATGTGAAGAATGGAGATTGAATAGGGATTGGGGAGGTGTGAATTTGGAATAATGGCCTAGCATAATTAGGAATAAATAGGGTTAATTCTTAATTGGTTAATAAAGGAATAATTTTTATTAATAGTAATAAATAAGAACTATTACTATTATTATTAGTAATAAATAAGGTTAGTAAATTTAAAAATAATTTTATTTTTAAAAAATAATTAAACGGGTCAAGCTGTTAACCTGCGAGTTAACTTGTCTGTGACCCGTGACTTGTTCAGGTCAAGTTTACGGGTCACCAACGGGTCACAGGTTGAAATATGTAGACCCTAACTCGTTTTTATGGGTCGGGTTTAGATCAGGTTCATGGGTCGGGCTGATTTTTGCCATGCCTAGCTGTGAGTTACATAGACTTGTTCCTTGTTTCTTTCAAGTAAGGTTCTTTATCTTGAAAAATGTTAAAGTGCATTTGTTGGGTCCCCTTTACTCCGTTGCAGGCGAAAGGAGGTGTGAAGGTTTCATAAGGCACCCCCAACATGGTGAAGAAGCCTACTATAGCAAAGACTCAGTCAAAAGTGGCGATACTGAAGGTGTGAACTCTTGTACTTTTGTAAAAACTGGAAAATGCTCTTGCCATCATCGAGGTTAGGTTGTTAACTTAGCTAGTTTACTTTTGTATACAACCACACCTTATCAGCGAACTACCTCCTTTCAAGGCTAGAGATTTTGAACTAGTCTCGAGGGGATTTATAACAAAGAGACATGCAAGCACTACCATCACTAAGAAAGGTACTTTAAATAATCCAATGAAGTAGCTTGCATTCTAGTGTCTTGCTTAGTTGGATGGTATACTTCTTTGTTAATCAATTGTGCCTTCGTTTGCCTCACCAAGTGCTGAGAAAGGCAGGGCTAAGGCTGCAATCAGCGTCAGTGAAGAAAAGGGGAAAATGGTTACTAAAGAAATCAGCTCTGACTCCAACGATAGTGTAGTGATAAATCCAATGACCAAGATGCCTCATTTTAGAGTGAGAATGATTTTGAACAGGGGGTAAAGGCACAAGTTTCCAAGGCAACATAGACATAAACAAAGCTGGCCTTGAAGAATTTGAGTCAGATGTAAGTGATGCTGTAAAGAAATCCATCTTTGATAACAGCAAGGTGGACATCGATAAGCCAACCATGAGTCTAGTGAAGAAAGCTGCCAGCTTCAGTGAGATAAAACATAGTGAACAACCATCCTTAATTCCAGCCAAGTCAAGTGAGGCTGATGACTTCGCCATGAAACTGATTAAAAACCTAGATGAGATGAATGATGATAGGGATGTATCGCTGGCTCTATTTGGCTTAGTGCCCCTTGGTGGCTCAAGGGTAGTGGGTGGGTTTACAACACTCGCGATGTTGGAGGTGTGGGCACTCCACTTGTTGGATACCTTCCCAAACTTGACAACTTGTCGCAAAGCCAAGAAAGTGGTGGTTGAAGACACCTTTGCAATTCTCTACGCAGCCATGCGACATATGAAGGTAACCACTTTCATTGAGATGAATGAGGACTTTTTCTATCTATGTAGAGATGCCATTGATGATGTCGAGAGCATAAACTCCAAGGTCGATGTCATCTGCACACATCTGTCAAATCTAGCGAAGGCATACATTAGGAAGACTAGGTTCAACATGACTAAAGGCGACACGGCTGAAAAATTAGACGATCAAATTAAGGAACAGATGGAACATGTTGCAAAGATGGAAAAGTCATTGGCTGAGACAAAAGGGCTTGTCTTCAAGCTGGAAGAAAGACTAGTGTCAGCCAAGGCATACCTAGAATCCTTCAACCAAGAGAAGGAGCTGGTAGCTTCATCAGGATTGTATCGAGGCTGCCAAGGCTTACGGAGATGATTTTAGCCCTTTCCTACCGTGAGTGGTCATGCACCCCAGCTTTCTCTCCATCTTTTGTTTTGCTCCCTTTCTTGTGTGTTAACTGTCGGTGATATTGCCATGATGTAACCCTCTTGTTATGTTTGTTTTGGGTTGACCATCTCTATTTCCAATGAAGCCTGGAACCTGTTACTTGTTTGTTTTCCTTGATTGTGGCTTTCTATTGCACCGAGTGTGGTGGTTAGACAGAAATATTTATACTATATGGAGGTGGAACAGGGAGGCTACTTACAATTGTTTTGCATTGTGCATCTCTTTCTTTTCCTATTTTCTTCTCCTTTTTTTTTTTTTTTTTTTTTTTTTTGGTTTAAACACTCCTTGTCGTTGCATAGCGATGAAATAGAGTGAAAGGAGAGCAACCAAGCTAATACATAAAATACCAAATACAATTAAGAGAGTGTTATTCGCACTTTACACATAATGACAGGACATAAGCAAAGTTAACCCTCTCGGCTGGAGTAGATTGCAGTGTGAGAGGTAAAATTATGAGATGAAGGGTGCTTACTTTCCAAGTAGCAATACTAGTGAAGCCTGGCAAAAATATGGCTTGAGCCACTTAGCATTTATGGGGTCTGGTAATGGTTCTCCTTCATGAGTTTTGAGCCAAGGATCAAACCTGAATCACCAATAATTTTCAAGCACTGTACGCTAGCTTCTTTAGCCATGGCAAGGCCAATAAGATAGGCTTCACACTCAGCCATGTTGTTCATGCACTGAAAATCAAGCTTGAATGAAAATATCGTATCATGGCCCTTGTCATCTTTAAGAACAATGCCAACTCTGGTAGGCAATGGAAAATGGCATTTTCTAGTGACTATATTTAATTTTCTATAATCAATGCACATGCACCTCCTGGTTACTGCCCTAGTAGGTATAGGAACTGTTACCCCTGATTTCTTTAACACTACCTGAGTAGGACTAACCCATTTACTATCAGATATAGGATATATGATTCCTGTAGCTAACAATTTCAAGACATCCTTTTTAACAACTTTCATTGTTGGGTTCAATTTTCTTTGAGGGTTTTTATCTGTGATAGATCCTCTAAATGAATTCTATGAGAACATATCAAAGGGCTTATAGCTTTCATGTTAGCTATAGTCCAACCTAGCACATATTTATGTTTTTTTAATATATGTACCAATTTCTCTTCTTGTTTAGCACTAAGTTTAGAAGATATTATAACAGGAAAGGCATCACCTAGATCCAAAAATGCATGTTTCAACCCTTTAAGGAGCAGGGATAACTCTACTTTTGGTGTCTCCAATGAAGATGGCTTTGGTTATTCCCTTTCACATGGTAACTCCTCAATGCATGGTTGCCAAAACTTCTTTTATTTATCCTTCTTAGCATTAAAAATATAAGAAGCATTAAAAATATCATTAACATGATAAAACAAAAACTCAAAGTTTAGATCGAAGTCATAGAGGAAGTGTTCTAAAGATTTAGAATTTTCCCATTCTTATACTTCCTCAACAAGTGAATTTATCATGTAGGTTTGATAACATTCATCATCATCCTGTAGTTGCTTCCTAACATGGAAAATATTCACCTCAAGAGTCATATTCCCAAATGAAAGTTTCATCAAACCATTCCTATAATTAATGAGAGCATTAGTAGTAGCAAGAAATGACATTCCTAAAATAAGTGAAATCTTTGACTCACTGTTAATTTCAAATTGAGTGTCTAAAATAAGAAAATCAAGAAGATAATAAAATTTATCAATTTGAAGCAACAGATCTTCTACTATCCCCTTTGGTTTCTTATAAAAACAATCAGCCAATTATAACACCACAAATATGGGTTTTATTTCACCAAGACCTAGTTGTAAATAAACTAAATAAGGCATTAAATTGACACTTGCTCTTAAATCCAAAAAAGCCTGATTGGACTCTTATGATCCAATTTGGCAAGCAATTGTTAGGCACCCTAGATCTTTGTATTTTGATGATGTTTATTGCTCTATCATTGCACTCACTTGTTCTGTCAAGAATGCAATTTTCTTGACATAGTGTTTCCTTTCCATGGCACATAGATCCTTAATTACTTTGGCATAACTTGGTACTTGTTTAATCACATGCAACAAAGTTAAATTAATCTTAACTTGTTTCAAATGTTCTAAAATCTCACCTTGGTTGTCTAAAATCATCCTAGTTCTAAGAGTTTGAGGGAAAGGAGCTTGAATTTGAACCTCCTTCTCAGGTTCTTTCAACTGGTCATCTTTATGGCTACTTGGAGTAGCATACTTTAGTTGTGGTGATTTTTGCAATGGCTATATAACCTTACTAGAACAAGTAGTGATAGCATTGATCCCTTTTACGTTTTTTGAATTTGAGGTAAATGCCTACCCCAAATGTAAATTTTTCAGTTTAGCTTAAGGTTAAGATGGAATCTTACCTTGCTCTTGGATAGTAAAAGCAATGGTTAACTTGGTTAATTGACTCTTGATATCCTTGTTTTCTTCAACCACTTATGTAAGAATAGAATCAAACTTTTAGTTAGTCTTAGTTTGTGCCTCCATAAATGCCTTAAATGTTTCTTCTAAAGGATTCCTATCTGACTGTGCATTGTACTGCGGTGTAAGGTAAGACCTAAGTGGTTAAGCTTCACTATTCCAAGTATTGTTGGATGATGGGGATGGTTTTGATCAATTTTCCAACTAAAATTGGGATGGTTCATCCAACTAGGAATGTATGTCTGTGAATAGGGTGAAAAAGGTTTCTTAACCATTCCTAATGCATTGCATTGTTCTTCATAAACCCCTCTCATCTCACCATAGGTTGAGCTAAATGATCCAATCCCCTATAAACAAAACATGGAGCTTGAGTTTCTACCCTAGCAACTATATGGGTGACTTTATTATTTTTCATCTTTAAGGTCTCAAGTTCCCTAGTTGCAGCTTCTAATTGGGCTTTAAGGTTATCTTCCTCCATAAGGTGGTAAATCCTAGATGATCGTGGCCTATTAATACTATCAGAAGCACTAGGTTTTGTCCAAGTATAAGCTTTTTCAGCTAACTCATTTAATAATCTATGGCTTCTTTTGGATCCGTATATAAAAACTCCCCATTCCATGTCATCTCTATAAATTGATGCTTCCTACTAGTCAAAACTCTCATAGAAACAACTAACCAACCTCCAAGTTCAATACCCATGATGTGGACACAAGTTTTGTAATTCCTTAAACCTCTCCCATGCTTGGTATAAGGTTTCACTTTCCTTATGAGAAAATGTGGATATCTTTTAAAATTATTAGTCTTGTGATATGGAAAGTACTTGTTAAAGAAAGCTAAGCTTGGGTCATCTTTCCCAATGCACCGATAGATCTTGGTCTCAAAAAATATAACCAAATTGTAGCTTTGTCTTTTAAGGAGAAAGGAAAGAATTTCAACCAAGCTATGTTTATAGTATCAGCTTAACTATGAAGAGTAACTATTACTTTCTCAAAGCCCCTAATATGCACATATGGATTTTCATTCGCTAAACCATGGCAAGTTGGCAAAAGTTGAATCATTCTAGGTTTGTATTCAATTTATGGTGTATTAGGAGGACTCATTATGCATGATGGTGTAGTTGTTTGAGTGGGATGCAAGTAGTCTTTGAAAGTCCTATAGGTTGATCCTCGTCTTGACTTATGGTTTCAAAATTATAAGATGAGTTAGACTCAGTTTCTTTTTCCAAGTGTGGTGGGACTAGCTTAATGAATCTCCCTTTTTCGTCTCTTGATCTATTCATACCCTCTAATCTACTTTTTTTTTTCTTTTGAATGAAAATAAAATAAAAGCAAGAAAGTAAAATAAACTAAAGAAAATGAAATAGAAAAAAAAAAAAGAAAAAAGAAAAGAAAAGTGAAGAATGTTTAAACTCTAATTATCAATTTGGCTTCCCCAACAATGGTGCCAAATTTTGATGTCTTGCTACAAAATTAATATCCTTTAGCTAAGCAACTGTTGTAGTGTAGTTTTATGCATTGAATCCATAGGGAAGCCATATTAAAATAACAAAAAGAGTTGTTACAATGAGAGATTCAATTAAATGATGATTTATAAAATTAAAAATAAAATTATTTAAGGGAAAGATGATACTTATAAAGGATTGAAAACAATATTATGATGAACAAGGATCCAAGGTTCACTTAATTAATTTGTTTAACTATTATAAATTTTGATTTGTATTTATTACTTAATTATATGTTCCACATCCCAAACAAATAATTAGAAGGTATAACTTTGAAGACCAATAATAATAACTAATCTATTTTCTGAGAGAAATTAATTTCAATGAAGAGCAAACTGATCTATCCTTATGAGCTATCTAAGAGTGATAATATATCTAATTGATAATATTGCAGTAAAGGATCAACCCACAAAACAAATCTACCAATTGATTATATTCTAACAAATTACACATAAAAAGGGCATGACTAATTTTATATGAAATTTGATAAATATAATTTTCATAGTTTTCAAATCTAAAAATAATTAACAACCTCTTAAAAATAAAATTAAATAATAAAATTTATGAAGGAATCAAAACAAAATAACAAGTTAAACTTCTCAATCAAGATCCTCTCTAACCTTATTGAAAGTTTAGCTATGCTTTGACATAATTCTATAGATTGGAAAGAAGAAAATAAAGCCTAGGTATATCCTCTCCAAGATCCCAAACCTAGTTTTAAAGACTCCTATTTATATTGAGAATAAAATAGGAGTGTTTGGTAACTAGAATAGCAACTTTGGGGAATTAATTTTATTTTTTTCTTTCTTCTCGTATAATCTTGTCAAACAAGGGTTGGAACCTCAAGTCAAGGTGCAGAACCCCTCTTGCTATTGTCCTTCCTTTTGCATTGGTCAGGAGTTGGAACCTGAAAACAAGTTTCAACACCTCATTACATGTCAACTTCATGTACTTTGCTCCTTAGTAAAAAATGGGGAAAATCACTCTTGAACCTTTTAACTTCCAAATTGGATGCTTGGACTCTTATCTTTCTAGCTCTTTGCATGTTAGTCCTTTTCTTCTAATTCTCTCCGTTTAATTATCAAACCTTCAATCATCAAGAATTTGCACAATACGAATAGAATGAACACTTATAAAATTACTTGTAGAAAAATACAATTCTTAGGCCCATAATT